CCCCTCCCACCGCCCAGAAAGAAGCACAATGTTTAGTGGGTCTATTTGGATTCGGGCACATTCCCCACTTGGGTGTGTTACTCTGGCCTACATCCCAAGTGACTCGGAACGCTGCTAGCCTTGTCTGGAACAGGAGAAGCCTCTTCGACAGGTCCAGGCTGCTGTGCAGGCTGCTCTACCACTTGGACCACATGATCCAGCAGACCCAGTGGTACTTGGGGTGTCAGCGACAGATAGGGATGGGATGTTGTTTTGAGCTTTCTCCCCGATAGGTGAAACTGGCATTTCGCAGCAAGGCTCTACCATCACCTGCAGACAACTGTTCTTCCTTTGAGTGAAAGCTCTTGGCCTGCTATCGGCCCTTAGTGGAAACTGAACATTTGACAATGGGCCACCATGTGACCTGGGCTGCCCATCGTGAGCAGGGTGTTGTCTGACTCACCAAGTCATAAAGTAGGACATGTACAGCAGCGATCTATTATCAAGTGGAGATGGTTTATATGAGATTGGGCCTTGGCGGGTCCTGAAGGCACAGCCGGATATATGAAGAAGCTGATCAAATGCCTCTGGTTTCCACTCCTGCTATAAGACTGCTGCCAAACTTGCACCTCATGGGGTGTGCCTTATGACTGGTTCACCGAAGAGGACACTAGGGCCTGGTTTACTGATGGTTCTGCACACTATGCAGGAACCATCCAGAAGTAGACAGCTGGGACAACCCCCGAAAGATACAGGGGAACGGAAGTCTTCCCAGTAGGCAGAACTGTGGGCAGTAGTCAGGGCTGCTAAACATTTTGTTTTGAGGGTGAAATGGCCAGATGTGCAACTGTTCAGATTCATGGGTTGCAGCCAATGGACTGACTGGATGATCAGGGGTTTGAAAAGACCATGATTGGAACATTGGTGAGTAAGGCATATGTGGAAGAAGTCTGTGGATAGTTCTCTCTAAAAGGGTGTGAAGACTCTTGTGTCCCATGTAAATGCTCATCAAAAGGTGACTTCAGCCGAGGAGGAGTTCAATAATCAAGTAGGTAGGATGACCCATTCTGTGGACAGTCAGCCTCTCTCCCAGCCATCCCTGTCGCTGCCCAATGGGCCCATGAACAAAGTGGTCATGGTGGCAGAGATGCGGGTTATGTATGGGATCAGCAACACAGACTTCCACTCACCAAGGCTTACCTGGATACAGTTGCTGTTGAGTGCCAGATCTGCCAACAGCAGAGATCAACACTGAGCCCCCGATATGACACCATTTCCAAGGTGGCCAGACAGTAACCTGGCGGCAGGCTGACTAAAGACAGACACTGCTATCATGCCAGTCAAGTGGCAGCATCCCGGAAGACTGGGCAGGTTCCCTCGCAGGCAGCAGATGCTTTGAGTCAGCATCTAATTATATAGTAGTTTCTCACATCATCAATATTCGTGGATCCAGGAGCAAGGGGTTGAAAAGGGAATCGTCCTACTCACTATCACCTGCAGTGACCCACTCGGGAAATTTCTGCTTCCTTTTCTCATGACCTTAGTTCTGCTGGCCTAGACACTTTGGTTCTAGATGAGGAAGCGTTGCTGCCAGGGGCCGCAACAAGCATTCTGTTGAACTGCAAGCTCAGACTTCCCCTGGCCACCGTGGGCTTCTGATGCCCTTGAGCCAACAGGCTGAGAAAGGAATACCAGTGTTAGGAGGGGTGATTGGCCCAGATTACAATGGGGGACATTGGACTGCCTCTCTGTAATAGAGGTAAGAAAGATTATGTCTGGAGTGTAGGAGGTTCTTTAGGGTGTCTCTTGGTGCTACTGTGTCCTGTTATTAAAGTCAATGGGAAACTACAACATCCTAAATCCAGGGGGGATGACAAAGGGCTCAGACACTTCAGGAATGAAGGATTGAGTCACTTCTCCAGGGAAAGAGCCAAGACCTGCTGAGGTTCTTACCGAGGGTGGAGGACATATGGAATGGGTAGTAGAGGACGGTGGCTATAATGCCAGCTAAGGTCATGTGACCAGTTGCAGAAATGGAGATTATCATTACCGTGAGTGCTTCTGTTGCGTTCTGTTACTCATGCCTTTTCACAGATATTTGTGTTGAGTTTTCATGTGGAATATTAGTGATTAGCACACTTAAGCTTGGTATACTAAAAGAATGTCCCTTAAGAGACATTGTCACCTACTCTAAGATTTCCACTGCCTTTGTGATCCTATGTGAACTAGTTGAAGGTCATGTCAGGCACACTTCCGGCCTGGCTATCATTTCTCTTAGAAATTAAGTGTTGCATAAAGAGATATGATCGTGTGTCAAGCTGACAAGGGTGGACTCGTGACGGCTGTTCCCAGTTGTCAACCTGACTACATCTGGAATTAACTAAAACCAAATAAAAGAAATGGCTGGGCACACCTATGAGGGATTTTTTTTTCTTAATTGAATCTTTTGAAATGGGAATATCTACTTCTAATCCAGATCTTTTGATGTCGGGAGACCCGCTTCTTATGTGGGCCCTCCCTCTGCTGGAAGCCTCTATAAGGACATGGAAGAGAGAGAGAAGCTCTCTTTTTGACCACTTCCTCACACCCTCACTATCAAGTCCATTCCTTCACTGGCATTAGTGTGTAGCATGAATAATAAAAACCCAGGGACAGATATTGGGGTTCAGCCTAAAAACCAGAAAAGCAAAGCAGCCAGACCACTAGAGAAATCTTCCCTCTCCCAAGGCTGGGCAACCGCAGACTAAGCAGTCTAAACAGTCTGAGCCTCTCTCCCCTCCCATTTTATATTCCCTCTAGTGCTGGAATAAAAGCGTGAGCCACCACCCCTGGATTTGTTTCGGCATTGGTCTTGTTTAGCCCAGGGTGGCCTTGAACTCACAGAGATGCGTCTGCCTCTATCTCCCAAATCCTGGGATTAAAAGTGTGTGCCACCACTGCCTGACCTCTAGTGGCTTAGCTTTGCCCTTCTGATATTTAGGCAAGCTTTATTTATTAAAACATAAATAAAATATCACTACATTAGTGCCTGTTACTTTGGGGTTCTGTGGTGAACTGAGGATCAGCTGAGACATCCAGCCTTGTGGACTGAATAACTGCTGGATTCTTGGATTCTTGGACATTCTGTTCATAGGCAGCTACTGATTAACTGCACCACAGCTCCTAAGTCATTCTAATAAATGTATATGGGATTCGTTCTATAAATTCTGTACTCCAGTATCTGCACTGACCATGACAAACCGAGCCATATTTAGAGCACTAAGCTGCCATCTATGATCAAAGCATAAAGTTAAAGCTTCAGCTCTACTCTCTACATGTTTTTTTAGGCAAAATTAAAAATTTTAATGAACTAAGAAATGAAGTCACAAAAATCACACTTTATAAACTTTCAGTGGGTTTTCCAATGTCAAGTTGTCAAGGGTCCACGAATCCAGCAACTTTTGGGCCGGATGCCTCAGCTGCCCTTCGGTATGCACGAGAATCTCAAAGCCGTAGGTTGTTGAAGGCACCACCCACACAACTCATTGAATATTGAGATGTCGAGCAGCCGCCCACAGCATAGGGTGGGGCCAGCTCTCCTGCTTCACACCCTTGGGGCTGGCTCACTGGCACCTATACCACCAGGGCCAGCTCTATGGTGGTGCCCGTGCAAGGTACACGGGCCACTCTCCCAAGTGCTGCAGCTGCTGAGGGACAGGGCCGGTTCTCCCACTCGTTGTCCCCCAAGGCCAGCTCTCCAGCCTGCTGCAGGGGGCAAGGGGCAAGAGGGCTCCCCCTCTTTCCCTCACCCACACCGCCACATGGCATATGAGGGAGATGGGCCAGCTCTCACACTCTCATGCCCTCAGGGCCAGCTTACAGTGCCCCTGCCAGCAGGTCAGCTTTACTGTGCTGCCCAGGCAAGGTGCCAGACTGGCTCTCCCAAGTGCTGCAGCCCATGAGGGGCTGGGCCAGCTCTCCTGCTCTCTTGACCCTGGGGCCTTGTCTGCATCAAATGGCGAGGAGTGAAGGGGACATCTCTCCCTGGGCCGTGCCACCAAATGTCAGACAAGTCGTGGGGCAAGCTCTGCCATGCTCACATCCTCCAGGCTGGTTCCTGTCAGTGGAGCCAACTTTACTATGGTGTCCAGGAGAGGTGCAAGGCCCACTCTCTGCGCAGTCCTGTCCTCTTGGACTTTTGTGGTGGCAGGAGCCATGGACATCAACACAGACCACAGCTGTGGCTGGCTCAGGACCCAGACACAGCCCTTGGCAGCATCGCAGGCCAGGATATCACCATGGCCCCAGGGGGCAAGCAGGTCACCCACCTCAGCCACCTCTTCCCTGCCTTCACCTATTCAGATCTGCCTCTCTTCACAGGACACAGACCATTCTTTCTTTCTCTCTCTCTCTCTCTCTCTCTCTCTCCCTCCCTCCCTCCCTCCCTCCCTCTTTCATACCCCACCATGTATTTACTCACCACAGTGGTGCCCCAGGCAGGCTTGTGGATCTCCTCCTTCTCAATCCTTACAGTGCCAAGCAGGCTCCTTCTCTCCCTGTCACCCCCCCTGCCACCATACCGGTTTCCTGGGTTTAAGGGGTTTGTTCATTTCCCCTTTTAAGAACCTCTATCCTATTCATACAGGCTGTTTTAAGGCCCTTTCTTTCTGCTTCACCTATGCTGGAATATTCAGAGCCTACTGTGGTAGCATTGCTGTGCTCTAGTGGAAACTGTACCGGCTATTACCAATTTTATTTCTACGTTGGCATCTAGGCATCTGGGATCGGGAAGCTTATAGTTCTAGGTGATAATCCCTGATTTTTTTCTTTTTTGGGTTAGTGTTTTGTTCCTTGGTTTATTTCCTTGATTTTTGTTTTTTAGGAGAGTGTGTTGCTTGGAAGATTTTCTGTGGACCTGATGAGTGTGGCCACTGGGTGTTCTAGGCACAATGTGCTTCTGGGTCTTGGGAGCTGAGACTTAGGACTGGGGATAGTCTAGGGGCTGGAGGGGGTTCACAAGAGGGAGGAAAGCAAGCATTCAACCAGGGTCCTGTTTATTTAGTCTCCTTGGCATGGGAGTAGACAGCGAAGAGAGGTCACTCCAGAAGATCTGCTGTAGAGCCAGGGATGAGACTGGGGGATTGGATCTGGAGGAGCAGAGGAGAGAAGAATCTACAGTCGGCCGCCCTGCTTCCTTGGCAGAAGTGTGTGGGTTAGCTTGAAGAGCCTGCTGGAGATGGGGGCTGGGAGGTTTGAGGAGGAGGAGGGCAGCGGAGGAAGGCTGTAGCAGGTATTCTGAGGCTGGGGGACTGGGTGTGGAGGAGAGGACTGAGTGGTGAAGGTCTGCCATTAGCTTGCTTGGGTCCCTGTTCTGCTCAGCTGGAGTGTCCACAGCGGATGCCCGCTGGTGTTGGGAGCTGGGATAATGGGACACGTTGGGGGAAGAAGGTTGGAGGTCTTTCTGATCCACTGAGGATGGGGTCAGAGAGGAAAGGGAGACCATGGCAGGTGTTCTGCTACAGAGCTGGTGCTGACTGGGGACTGGATTTGAAGGAGCAGGAGGAGGGGTGCAGCCAGCCTACCTACTTCCCTGGCGGGAGTTTGACCAAAGCAATTACAAAAGAAATAGCTTTAATTGGTCATACCGTTTTGGAGCACTCAAGTCCATGATGACTGAGCAAAGGCATGGCATCAGGAACAGCTAAGAGCTGGCACCTCAGACTGCAAGTAGAAGACAAAGAAAGAATGCTGGGAGGGACTGGAGTCTTTTGAAACCTCAAAGACAGTGACACACCTCCTCCAACAAGGCCACATCTCCTAATGCTCTCCAGACAGTTCTACCAAGTAGGGACCAAGTTTCTAAACATGTGACCCAATTTTATTCAAATCGCCACATATCACAACTTTCTCTTCTTGATTTATGACCTCAATGTGTAGTTCAAGCTGGTTTCAAATCTACAATCCTCCTGCCTGTGTTTCCTGAATGTTGGATCACAGGTGTGTGCCACCACATCTGTCCTTAGGGTGGATTTAAACAAAGCCCAGGCTTACTAAGCATGAGAAATGAGCAACCCTAATCCCATGGGTTTTATTTGGGACTCTGACTTTCCTTTTTCCAAACTTCACGATTTATTTAGAAAAGAACACATTTTTAGAAATAATATTTATAAACCAGACAATTATGACACAACACATAGAAAAATATAGTTAAAATTAGCTCTAGGGCAAAAGGCTTATTAAAAAAGCATCTAATTTGGGGCTGGCAAGATGGCTTCCTTGGGTAAAGGCACTTGCCCCCAAGCCTGGCAACTTGAGTTCCATTTCTGGAACCTACATGGTGGGAAGAGAGAATTGACCCTTGACTGTTCTCTGACTTCCAAATGCATGCTATAATGTGCCCCCTCCTTCCTTTCCTCTCCCTCCAAAACACACATATGTTTGGAAATATGAAAATATTTTTATGTGTATAATCTGATTTGTGAGGGCACTGATGTCAACTAAGTTTTACTTTTCTTCAGACTCGATTTCGTCTCTAGTTTTAGCCAGGACTGTTAGAAATGCCTCACGTTTGGGTATTCCACGCAGAGAGCTCTTCTTGCGTGTGTGAAACGCCTCACGTTTGGGTATTCAACGCAGAGAGCTGTTCTCGCGTGTGTGAAATGCACAGACAGGGTCTCGGGGAGACCTGGCCATTCCGGGTGACCAGACTGACCCCGCTCTGACGGTGCTCCATGACTCTAGAACCCTCTCCGCATTGCTAGTCTCCTGAAGTGGGCTTCATTGGAGCCCACTGTGGTCCATGTGTGAGCGTGGCGGGGAACATGGGCAACATCACGGATCCTAGCCAGAAGGCTTTCTTGACAGGTGTGCTGAGAGCAGTTTAAATGACGACCAGGAAGATGGATTTGTCACAGCACCCTTGAGAGCTAGCGGACAGTCATGAAGGGATCTCAAACACCTGTCGCAGCACTTCCATTGTTATTTTTAAGGGGCCTTTGATGGCTCTCAAATGTCACAAAACATTCATGCTTGGTTGTTTTGTCTCTTTCTACAAGGATGGTGGGGTGGGAGGCGGGCTTCACATCCATGCACTGGCTGGTGGGTTTCTGAAGACAGAAGTCATAGCGTTCAGGTGTAGCCCAAAGGTGCCGGTGGCCTTCTAATCAGCTCCCACCGTCTTGTCAACACAATTCAGTTATTCCTAAGTGTGGGCTCAAGTACCAGAAACAGAAGGTGTCTCACTGAAAACAGCCTCGGAAGGAGGCCTCCATGAGGGACGGAGTGTTCCCTAAGTGATTAGAGAGGGCCTTTGTCGTGCTTCTACGGCTTCCAGGGCTAAGAATCAAGAAGTTGTTATAGCTCTGTCTCTGCATGTGCATGAGCTCACATCCACGCTGGCTTTAACCTGAACAGGTAATTAGTTCTAACATCAACATTAAGACCGTTTTTTTAAAATCGATTATTATTGAGCTCTGTATTTTTTTCTCTGCTCCCCTCCCTGCCTCTCCCCATCAAGACCGTTTTAAACTTCTCAACTGCGTTTACCCTTTTCCAGAAAACCCATTAAATATTCCACAGGCCATCATTAAGATTTTCCTGGGGATGTGATGGTGGACCAGCTGATGTTGGTCAAAATACCCGGTGCCTGGGAGAGATAAGTTAAGCAGAGGGGCAAGAAGGACACACCTGAATTTGAATTTCTTGACGTTTGAGATGGGAACTCAAGCACACGAACTCTCAACTACCCCTACGGCCTCCGCTCCGAGTAGCTGGCATTGTAATGTCCATCTTTTCATGAATTTTGCAACACATCTTTTTATGCGGTTTTAAGAATTGGCAACTTCACATCTCTTTATAGGTATTGGTGTATCATCTTACCTTTCTGTCAGCAAAGCCACAGTTCCTTTAGACTAACAACTCTTTGGGGAACAATTAGCAAGGAAAAGAAACAGCGAGCTACTTTGCTACCAGCAGGTGGCAGAGCCTCAAAGACCTGGAAGAAAGCCGGCGCGCACAAGAGCGCTGTCAGGTGCCCCGTGTTCAGGGTGGCCGCCACTCTGCTGTGGCTCTGAGGACAGCGGGGAGGTCCCGTCCATCCGTCCGTCCATCTTCAGTGGCCCCGAGAAGTGCGACTGCAGCGGGTTCGAAGTTCCGGAGACGCCCGTTGGCTGCGCTGGCTCGGGATGGGCGGGGGCTGAGCCGGGGACCCCGACTCCTGGCTCCGACTCCCCGACCCCAGGTTGGCTCGCGGCCCCGCGGCGGAGGCGCCCAGGATCGCACCCGCGGACTCGGGCTGCCGTCTGTGGGGACCGAAGGCGGCACGCTTAGCGCGCGTCGGGGCTCCAATCCTGATTTTCATTTCGCTCCAGGCTCAGAGCACTAAGTAGGCTCCAAACCGCACAAACAGGAAGGAGGGAGGGCCGGGAGTGCGGGCAGAGGGCGGGTCGTTCCCAGCAGCGCGGGCGGTCCCACCCCTCTCGGGTCCCCGACCCGCGGGGCCAGGGCGGGGCGTTAGCGTCAGCTGGGGCTAGAAAAGGCGGCCGCCTGGTCCGGCGAGGTGACAGCCCAACTCGGACGCCAGGCCGGGCCGACGCCGCCATGAGCGCCGCGCTTTTCAGCCTGGACAGCCCCGCGCGCGGCGCAGCCTGGCCCACGGAGCCCGCGGCTTTCTACGAACCGGGCAGAGTGGGCAAACCGGACCGCGGGCCCGAGCCCGGGGAGCTGGGGGAGCCGGGCTCCACGGCCCCTGCCATGTACGACGACGAGAGCGCCATCGACTTCAGCGCCTACATCGACTCCATGGCCGCCGTGCCCACCCTGGAGCTGTGCCACGACGAGCTCTTCGCCGACCTCTTCAATAGCAACCACAAAGCGGCCGGCGCGGGCGGCCTGGAGCTGCTGCCCGGCGGCCCCGCGCGACCCCCAGGCGCTGGTGCAGCCGCCCGGGGCCCGCTCAAGCGCGAACCCGACTGGGGCGACAGCGACGCGCCGGGCTCCCTGCTGCCCGCGCAAGTGGCCGTGTGCGCGCAGACCGTGGTGAGCTTGCCGGCCCCGGCGCAGCCCACACCGCCCACGTCGCCCGAGCCCCCTCGGGGCAGCCCGGGGCCGAGCCTCGCGCCGGGCCCGGTCCGAGAGAAGGGCGCGGGCAAGAGGGGTCCGGACCGCGGCAGCCCCGAGTACCGGCAGCGGCGCGAGCGCAACAACATCGCTGTGCGCAAGAGCCGCGACAAGGCCAAGCGCCGCAACCAGGAGATGCAGCAGAAGCTGGTGGAGCTGTCGGCCGAGAACGAGAAGCTGCATCAGCGCGTGGAGCAGCTCACGCGGGACCTGGCCGGTCTCCGGCAGTTCTTCAAGCAGCTGCCCAGCCCGCCTTTCCTGCCGCCCACCGGCGCCGACTGCCGGTAACGCGCGGCCCGGGCTCAGAGACTCCAAACGACCTATACCTCAGCCCCCGACGGCCAGGAGCACACGCCGCCAGAGCCGCTGCAGTTTTGTTGCGAGCGACCGGAAGCTGCAGCTTGGACACTGGACTGCGAGAGAAGCTATGAGTCTTTCCCCCTTAAATTATTTTTATAATGGTAGCGTTTTCTACGTCTTATTACCATCGCAGCTAAGGTACATTTGTAGAAAGAGAAGACTTTCTGACAGACTTTTGTAGATAAGAGGAAGAGACTGCGCATGCTTTTTATATTCATTTTTACAATATTTGTAAGAATAAAGAAGCATTTAAATCGCTGCAGCTTCCTAGATTCAGTCTCTCTCGCACACAATGTACTGGGACCTCACCAGGGAAAAGCAAGCACCTGGGAGCCACAGGACCAGGTGTGGTGCCCACACGGGGTAAGGAGACTTGAGACATGAGTTTGCTTGCTTTGGAAGCCTGGCAGAGTTGGCCTCAAGCTCTGTATTGCCAGCGGAAGGGACATGGGAAAGCATGGCTACTCCATGTTAGGTTTTAAGGTGCGATCCCCGAGTGTGCAGAACTGGGTTGGGGCTGGCCAGAGAATAGCTGTGAGAGGGTGGAAGAAAGCCCCAGAGAGCCAGAAACCGGATTCCTCTTAGCCTGTGGGCTTTGCTTTCACTTTCCTCAATCCTGGGGACATGGTGTAGTTTTCAAAGTGTGCACCAGGAAAAAGTCAGATTGTAGGATATAAAAGGGACAGCCCCAGACGCCTTTAATTGTAATGTTTGAGGGCTTAATCCAAAAAAAGCTCTGTGCCTTTCTCCTAAGAAAACCATGTCTTAGGAACACGGCCTTGTTATTATGTTACTGTGAAGAAGAAAAAAATAAGTTCAGGATTCAAATATGTAGCTTCGTTAGTAATTCAGATCCAGCACAGGACGGTGGGTCACTGTGAGTGTGAACTTTGCCCTCTGGCAGGTGTGTGCTGGAGTGAGCTACAGAAACTTGTTTAACACAGCTCAGCTATATGGTGTGGGTGACAGTGCCATCTCTGGCAGTTTCAAGAACACTAGAACCACAGAGTGTTTGGGTTGGACATTTGTTTATTACAGCAGAACAGCAACATCTCAATAGGAGATACTGCTTGAAGCTTTAACATTAAATACCACAAAGAAAAAAAATGTACACACATGGGTAGAGTCTTAAATACTTGAAAGCTATGTCCTAATCAATCAGTAATATTACCTAAGTAATGCAAAATGAAGATCACAGAGATACTCAAGCTTTAGGAACATGTTCTCAAACTTAGAGGAAGGTAATTTAAAAATATAATAAAGGTATTTTGATTTTTAATTTACAAAATCATCCTATTAAGCTATTTACAAGGAAAAAAGAAACCTACTAAACTTAAAAACCATAGAAGTACTCTGTGGCGTTAACATAGCTCCCCAAATCAAGCCCCCACCCTCCGTGCAAAGTTCCCAGATGTCAGGAAGGAGGGTGGTTGGCTCCTCCCGCATCCAGAAGCTCAATCTCCTCCAGTGTGACACAGCTGGTCTGCTGTGGGGTGATGGACTGGACAAAGCAGAGTAAAGGTCCCATCTCCTTCCCAAGGACATTCTTCACTTCATAACTCTGCAGTGATAGAAGCAAGCTGGTTAAAGCAAACAGTCCTGGACTCCCGAACATTCTGTTCCCAACAATGCCACAGCCAGGGCAAAGGCCCTTCCTTCCAATGGCAGTTTTCTGGGGTGGTTGGGTGAGGGTGTACTATAAAGGCCCCCTTTATTATAGGAAACAAACGAGCTACTTTACTGCTTTATTCTGATGTTGAGTTTGGCTGTTCGGGCTGCCAGGATAAAGGGGCCCAGGACAGGATTTGGAAGACAATAAGCACAGGAAGTGCTGTCCTTCCATGGGGGCTGGGCTTTTGGCTTGCAAGTCTCCCACTTCCTTTGGGGACACTTCCCCAATCTAGCAACACTTCTGGTCAGAGGATTTCCTGGTGCTTGCCCCAAACTTCCCTCTTCAATCGGATTCCATTTCTTCTTGAGTTTCATTGGGCTAACCATTTCTTTCTGTGCAGACTTTGAGTTTTTATTCACAAAGTTAATCTTGAGAAAATTTCATTTTCAGACATAAACACAGGTCCAGAGCCACAGGGCTTCTGTCTGGTGTGGCTGTGCCTTGTCTGGGCTTTTACAGATCCAACTTCAGAGCATTTTTGGTGAGGGTGGGACTGAAAATAAAACTCACACTTGGAGATGGGACTGATACTGCCGTGTGATAGCACCCTGACCTGCTTGTCCTCTGCACAAGGTAGGGGACAGCCCTTCAGCATTTTTTCTTTTTCTTTCTTTCTTTCTTTCTTTCTTTGTTTGTTTGTTTTTCGAGACAGGGTTTCTCTGTAGCTTTGGAGCATGTCCTGGAACTAGCTTTTGTAGACCAGGCTGGCCTCAAACTCAGAGATCCACCTGCCTCTGCCTTCCAAGTGCTGGGATTAAAGGTGTGCACCACCATCGCCTGGCTAGGATTTAGTTTTGTACATATGAATTTAGGTCATCTATAGTCAAGACCTTTGGGTCAAGGAGATGGACAGAAAATATGGCCAACACAGATTTTGGCCAAGTCTGGGCTGGCCACAGTGATGTCCTAAGCTCAGTTAGGAAGGGTGGCCAGCCCAGTCAGGCACTATGAGGAAGCTGGCGAAGGGCCTTCACTGGGGAGGCTTCTGTGACTGCAGCCCTGCCTTGAGGGTACCAGCTGATGGAACAGAGATGAAGCATCCCAGTGCAGCCCAGAATGGTCTGTCTGTGTGCAGAGGGCTGAATATTTTGTTTGTAGAGGATCAGTAGCTTACTTACAGTAGCTTACTTATTACTTTGACAAGTTTTGGATTCCTTAGTACAAAATAAGCAATGTCTACAGTGTAGTTCAAAAGCCTCACAGGAAAAATGAGACCTGCAGGAGAAGAGGAAGGCCAGAGGCTCCCTGGGAGGCGGGTGTTCCCTGCAGGCGGCCAGGGCCTGCTCCACGGTGAGGTCTGGACAGAGCACCAGCACAGGAGCAGTCATCAACAGGTGGCAGGCGGGAGGAGGATGCCAGGGGGACAACTAAGCGTTCATCCAGTGTCTCTCACTGTTTTCCTTCCCCAATGCTTGTTTAAGTGTGAAAAACTGACCCAGGCATTCCCATGTATTCCTCTGGTAAAAGTATGAATTTTTTGTTTTCTTTGGAGGCAAGGTCTCATGCCATGTAGTTCACTCAGGCTGACCTCAAACTTGCTATGTGGCTGAGGATGCCCTTAAATTCCTGATTCTTTTGCCTTACTTCTCAAGTGCTGGAGTTACAGGTGTAAAACACCATGCCCAGCTCATAAATATGGAATTTGGATTTCATAAAGGTTAGTAAAAAATTATTTCTATGTAAAATGTTAGGTTCAGCTCCATCACCTATAGACTTAATAAATCATATGTATTTTTGAAAAATGAACATTGTGAATTTAAAACATTCAATCAGCAAATTCATAAACTGTCCATATGAATGTGTATGTGCGTCCATCTGATTTTTAGTATTTACTCATTTAATTTCATGTCTTTTTAAGAAAATCTGACAGTGCTTGGATTGAACCCAAGTTTTTCTGCATGCCGGGCAACTACTATTCTCCTGAGCTACAGTCAACTCCCTGGGTCTCTACTCTTTTTAAAGATGTACAAGCCGAGGGAGCAGATTCCAACCCCACGCCTGTAATGTCACTAGTGAGACACAGCAATAACGTTAGTCTTGTTTCTTCCACACTCAGTGTGACCACAGCGAACACATACCATTTCGCATTCCTGCATTGTAACCAGAAACAGTACATTTGGTTCAGGGACGGGAGTATGGTTTTTATGGAGATCCCTAACTGGATTCTCTGGGATTCTGTAAATGTGCATCCTCACCCAGAAACCCCCAGAGTCTGGAGT